ATTATGCCACCTGCTAGTCCCAAGGTGGCGATTCTTAAAACTTTAACAAAACTAAAAATCCCTCCATTGTCCGCTGCCTATCCTCAGACCCTGGCCCAGCCACTCCATACATGCAGATAAAGACGAATCCATATCACTAGGCACCAGCCCAGTGCCTGATGCCTCTGCTCACAAATTTAATCGCCTCTTTCCAGAAAGTTCTCCCTTGTAAATAAATGAGAATCGAAATGGCCCGTATGGAAATATAATGTTGTTAAAATCACTAATTAAGTTTTACACAACCGTGTAAGAGCAAACGAAAAGGTTTTAGCTTCTTAATTTAAGAAAAGAGGAATATGATGTAATTTTAATTTGTGATAAGATAAGATGTTCTTGATATTGCGGTTTCAATTGGATTACATCCTAATGTACTTTACAAAGTGTCAGGCTGGCTGCAGATTAAGGAGTGTGTGTGATATTCTTTATTAACAATTTAATGGGCCAGTGTGTGCTCTATCCATCTTCATCAGTGTTTCCAGCCCACCTGGGAGACCTCGTTAGTGCAGAATCTGAAACTCCAACCTGGGACAGGAGGGCTGGGATCAGCCTGAGAGGAGGCCTTCAGTGGACCGGCAGACAGATGGGCTCCCAGGACCTGCCGTAGCCATTTGGTCAAAGCTCTCTGCTAAGAGGGATTCCCTGGGATGCAAGGGAGGGAAGCCCAAGGAAAAGGTCCCCAGGAGTCTGAGCTACAGATCAGTGGACAAGTAGGAGCCAAGGAGCTTCAGGGCGAGGGAGGCTCCAGGTGCAAGAGGCAGATGGCAATGTCTACAGGTGGGAGGGACCTAGAACCTGTCCTCTGGCCGTATCTCTTACAGTAGGGTTGAGAGTGTCCTGAGCGGCCAGCAGGTGGCGTGGTGGTTGGGGGCAATGGACTCACATGGCCGACTGAGGTTCAAATCCTGGATCTGGTGGCTTGCTTTTTCACTTTCTCTCTCTCTCTCACTCTGTCCCTCTCTGGTCAAATTAAAAATAAATACATAAAGTTAAATAAAGTAATTCTTTAAAAAAAAAAAAAAGTGTCCTGAGTGAGCTGCCCTGCTGCATACCCCCTGTCTATTTAGGACCCAAGACTGAAGGAGGAGGATGGGGCAGAGTGGATGGGCATGGCAGGGGTGAGGGGAGCCTGGTGGGGCACTGCTGTGTGTCTCTTCTGCACAGTAATCTCGCACTCCCGGCAGGGCAGCTTTGGATGGGGTCACCCGTGAGCCCCTGTCCTATGACCCTCCTGAGCCTACAGCTGGGACCCCATGCAGCCCATGCAGCACCAGGTCAGGGCCTGGGCCCGGAAGGGTCTGCCTGCCCCTCTGGGCCCTGGGAGATGGGGAGCTCCCAACCCTGAGATAACCCCAGAGAATCCTCCAAGGACTGAGCCCCCTGCCTGCATTTGCGCATCGTCCTGCTCAGCTCAGGTCTGGGAAGGGCAGGTTGTGCCTGCTGTGTGCCTGCTGTGGGTGCTCTGACACCAGTGACCTGGTTTGATCTCCACGGGCCAAGGTGGGGCAGCTCCCAGGGTCCCACAGCAAGGACACTGGTTGGAGTGAGCCAGCGGACACCCCCGGCATTGCCAACCCCTCTCATGGGTGAGAAGACAGGCCTGGCAAGGCGGGCTGACTTGTCCAGTGCCACAGCTCAAGGCCCAGGAGCCATGCATTCATTCGTGCGTTCATTCACTCACTCGCTCAGCGAGTACTTACTGAGCTCCCTACTACATGCAGACGCTGCTGCAGGCACTACAGGGACAGAGTGGAAAGACAGGTGAACTCCTGACCTGGGAGGATGACAAGACAAACGTCTAAATACAGAAGGTGACTCCTGGATCGAAAACAAACCAGGAGGATGGGTAGAGAGCCGGGTGTTCAGAATCCCCTGAGGAGGACACAGTTCAGCCGACACCTGACAGTAAGAAGCCAGCCTTATGGAGAGCTGGGCTCCAGGCAGAGGCACTGGCAGGTGCGGAGGCCCTGTGCTGCAGAGTCGAGGGTGGCTGGAGCCAAGGCAGGGAGGAGGGAGCAGTAGGAGATGGGCCGTAGGGCCTATGGGAAGCCAGCCCATGCCTGCCCACTGGCTCCCCAAGAGGGGTACGGGAGTCCTGTGAGGGCTGCAACATCTCCCTGAGCCCAGGAGGAAACAGGTCACTTCCTGCCCAACAGCCTCCAATCACCCTCAAGTCCAAGCCCAAATTCTGAGCTTCTCAGTCAAGACTGCCCAGGCAGCTTGGCCGCTCCCCATCCTTCCTGCTGCAGCCACTCTGTCCGTACACTCCCCCACCCCCAGCACTTCCTGAACGCCCGCACACCACATCCTGGTCCCTGTGCCCCAGTCCAGACCCACAGGGCCACAGGGCTGAGGACCAGTGTGGCTGCAAGAGTGCGAGGTACAACTAAGGGAGCAGCCCTTCCCCTTGGTATCCCTCCATGCCCGTTTCCTCTCATGAGAAAAGCCTGGCACATGCTGAGTGCCACACGCACAGCAGGAGGGCAGCCCTGGCCACACCCAGAGACATGGCTAGGTTGCCTGTTGGCCGCACACCTTTGGAACCAGCCAAAGCATCTCCCATCTGAGAGAGTTGCCAGCTGTCTGGGGCCCTCTAGGGTGGGTAGAGAGTAGGCAGCCTTTGTAGAAGCGAGGGCAGTGAGGCCAGCTCCACCTACACCCTAGCACCACCAGAGTGGTCACACAGGCCCATCCTGCCATGCCTCCTGGCTGGCTGGATGGCGCAGGACCTCATCACATTCCAGGCTCAAAGGATGCGTTCTCGCGCGGCATGCAGGATCTGCAGTGCTGGTCTCCGCCAGATAGCGAGGATGTCCTCCGGGCTGGCCGTGCCTGCAGACACTCCGTTTACTGAGCACCAACACTCTGCCCAGCTCAGGCCCAACGGCACCCTCAAGGCTGCTTCTGGGGTTCCAGGAGTCTCGATGCCTCAGCTCCCTCACCCTAGAGGGCAATACCTTGGCGTGAACCAAGCCCCAGTGCCCACAGTCATAGCTAATACATAGATAATACTCTCTTCCCTTCCCTGCCTTGGAAATCCCACATAGCCCTCCCCCCAACTCAGTTTCATCCCCCTAGGGGCTCCCAGGGATGGAAGAGCACTGGCAGGGTGAATCGCAAGAACCTTGAAGGGGACTTCCACGTTCTAGTCCCCAATCTGCTTCTAATTTCTATGTGGCTTAAGGCAGTTGTATCGCCTCTCCGAGACTCAGTTTCCTTGTCAGTAAAATGGAGCCACTTTGGGGCTTTCTGTCCAGGCTGCCCCCATCACTGCTAAGTGGCACTCTGCCTCCCCCTGGTGGTAAAAGGTTCATACTGCGAGGGTCATGCCTGAGACCACAGGGTGGGGCTGAGGTCTCATTAGGGCCACATGCTCAGCTGCAGGGTCAAGCAGATCGGGGCCCAGGCCACCCTCCACAGCTTCGTGCCCTTAATATTCAAGAGGCCTCAGGGTCCTGCTCAGAACTGCATGATGCCAGCGCCCGAGGCGCTTGGTCACACTACTGTACTGGCTGAGTGCCTGCATCACCAGGCCCTGCTGAGCACGCAACTCCAACACCCTGCCCTTCCCTGCCCCCACTGCACATCCTCAGTCCCCTAGACCACCGCCCCCACCCTTCCTGCAGCCGGTGCATCTGTCCCCATCCACCTGGGGGCCTCCATTTCTCAGCACACAGGTGAGATCTCCTTGGTGCGATCTCCCAGGGTCTCTAGGATCCCACTCCCAGCTGGTGTCAGCCTCCCAGACCTGGTGGGCAGTCTGCGGTCTCCATGGTGATACTCAGTCCCCACAGATACACCTCAGGGCGAGGCCTCAGGGCGAGGCAGGGGCTCACCTTATCACTCACTTGCTGCGGTGAGCATGTGGCCAGTGGCCCCACCTGTCCAAGCCTCCTTTTCTTGGAGCATTGAGGTACTAGAAGGAGTTGGGGGAGCAATACCCTCATCCCTGTTTCCAGGATCCAGGTTACCTCGAGGGGCCAGTGGAGGCCTCACTATCATTAGAAGGCCTGAGCTGCCATGCCTTCAGTGCTTTTCCAGACATGGCCACTGGACCTACTGACCCTTCCAAGACACACTGAAGGCTCAGAGGGCAATGCCCTGGGCCAGAGCCACGAAGCAGCTGAGCTGCAGTCATGACTGCAAAAGCACTGCCCCATACTTGCAGGACAGCCCACACGGTTTCCCATGCCCCATGCTCCTCTCGTGGCCCTGGAGTCCCGGCTGAGCCTCCATCACATGGGGTAGACCATGGGATGCAAGTGTCCAGCCCAGCATGAGCTCCACAGGTGAGAACACAGAGCCAGGGACTCCAGTCGGTGTCCCCCTGAGACAGAAAGGGATCCTGCTGCTTTACCACAGCCAAGGGCCTTCCAAGGCCAAGGGTTCATCACTGCCGAACCGAAGACAGCACAGCAAGCCACAGCCACAGCCATAGCCCCTCCCCCCCGGGAGATCGAGGTCTGCAGGGGGAGCAGCTCCCCTGCTCAGAGGTGTGCAGAGCTTGGGAGGCCCCAGGTCTACTGAGCTGCACCCTAAGAAATCTACCATGCATCTGATGTCATAAGGGGCAGGAATCCAGCCTCTCACTGCCCTGGCCACCAGGAACTCGGCCCTGACCAGGCCCAGGGCCCAGTTCCTCACCCCAGGGCCTGAGGCAGCCTCAGCACTGGGAAGCCAAAGTCATAAATCCCAGGTCACCGAGACACCGAGATGCCCATGTGGGGCCAGTCCCTGAGCTGCCCAAACAGACGTCCCTTCCCTGTAGGGCTCACATCTAGCCCGTCGGTTTAGCCAGGAAGCAACTAAAACGCCCACTTCAGAGGGCCTGCGCCAAGCCCAGAGAGGGTCAGAGCCTGCCTGAGGCCACAGAGCACTGGGTGTAGAGCTGGAGCTCAGGCAGAGCCCTCTCAGCCAGGCCCAGGTCGCCGGGAGCACATAGGCCAGCACGAGAGTGAGGAGGCTACGTGGTCAGTTTCTTTATTGAGCCCACTTGGAGCCTGAGCGGCTGGGTCTGGCCCCACAGGTCTGCCAGGCAGGTCACTCTGAGGTGCTGCTTTTGTTCTTTGGGGACCAGATCTTGGACAAGCGGAACTTGGACTTCTTCCTCTGGAGGCCTGAGGGGAGAGGGAGACGCGGAGGTTCATGTCACTGCCTGCACAGGTCCTGTAAGAATGCAGAGTCCTCCGTTCTTCCCTTCCTCCCATCCCGCCAGAGTCCTCCTCCTCTGCAGGAGGCCAGGCCTTGAAGTCAGCCCCCGGGCTCTTCCCCATTCGCCCGCCTTCACAATTCCAATCCCAACTAAGCACCCCGGGTCTAGGCCTGCCCAGCACTCCCACACCCTGACCACAAGGTCATCAGCTGCTTCTTGGTTCCTTCAAGTGATGGGGAGCTTGCTCCTTAGGGTGTGGCTGTCTGTCCTGCAAAGGACTAGGTCCCAGCCCCACCCCCACAAGCGGAACTTGGACTTCTTCCTCTGGAGGCCTGAGGGGAGAGGGAGACGCGGAGGTTCATGTCACTGCCTGCACAGGTCCTGTAAGAATGCAGAGTCCTCCGTTCTTCCCTTCCTCCCATCCCGCCAGAGTCCTCCTCCTCTGCAGGAGGCCAGGCCTTGAAGTCAGCCCCCGGGCTCTTCCCCATTCGCCCGCCTTCACAATTCCAATCCCAACTAAGCACCCCAGGTCTAGGCCTGCCCAGCACTCCCACACCCTGACCACAAGGTCATCAGCTGCTTCTTGGTTCCTTCAAGTGATGGGGAGCTTGCTCCTTAGGGTGTGGCTGTCTGTCCTGCAAAGGACTAGGTCCCAGCCCCACCCCCACAGCCACCCCCCAGCCCTGCCCAGCTCCCCAAAGTTACCCAGGTTCTGGATCATGGTCTGTAGCATCTGGTCCTCCTCTTTCTCCCTGAGACAGGAATGGGGTGGCCATTAGGGGCAGCATGCACTGGGCGGGAAGCCCACGGACGATTCCAGTCCACCTCCCCTCCGGGCCCTGAACCCACCTGACAGCATGCTGCCCGCCCTCTCACCAACCAGCCAGTCATGGCTTGGTAGAGCCCTTCCCCTCCCCAGACGGTCCCTGTCCTCTCCAGGCCCAGCGCCTCAACAGTGACATGGGGACAAGAGGTGCCCAGGGCTGACCCGTGCCAAGGCCACTTTGAGCTCATGGAGATCACACTGGATCTCGACCTCAGCTGGCAACCCTGTGTGACCTGGATGGGACCTGAGACAGGAAGGGAAACCTCTTGGGGAGGGTCATGAAGCTGCGCACCCCAGTGCAGCAGCCAGGGTCACATGTGGCCACATACATTTAAGTTAGAAATAACACTTAAGGGGCCAGGTGGTTGCACAGTAGCAGAGTGGCTGGAGCCACCAGGGAAAGGTCCTGGGTTCGAGTCCCTGAACCTCACTGAGTGCACAGGGCACACACAAGGCCGTGGTCCTGGCAGGCTGAGATGAGGTGGGCTACAGTGTGGGAACTCCTCTAGGGGTGCCTGTCTCTCTTTCTCTCAAGGAAGAAAATACAAACTTAAAACTAAAGTCTAATTTTAAATTCAGCTCCTCAGTCACATGGGAGAACTACAGGCGCCCGGTGCCACACGTGATCAGTGGCCGCTGCACTGGGCGGCCCAGCTGATAGAACATTCCATCACAGCAGGAAGTTCATCAGGCAGTGCTGACCCTGGACATGGGGGAACGCGGGCCGGAAACCAGCCTTGGAAACCAGCCGCCCAGCCTGGGCCAGCCTCGGGCCACAGCCCCTCCTGGGAAATGCATGTGGGGGGTCTGTTCCTCCCTGATTGGCTGGGCAGGAAGGTGCCCAGTGAGAGGTGACCAGTCCTAGCCTGGCTCCGGCCCCAGCCCCACCCTCACCTGAGCCGGTTGGACATGGGGGAACGCGGGCCGGAAACCAGCCTTGGAAACCAGCCGCCCAGCCTGGGCCAGCCTCGGGCCACAGCCCCTCCTGGGAAATGCATGTGGGGGGTCTGTTCCTCCCTGATTGGCTGGGCAGGAAGGTGCCCAGTGAGAGGTGACCAGTCCTAGCCTGGCTCCGGCCCCAGCCCCACCCTCACCTGAGCCGGTCCTCAGCCAGGAAGTCGATGATGTCGCTGCGGTCGTTCACGGTGCTCACGGCAGCTCCCCCTCCCGCTGCCGGTCCTGGGGTGATTTCAGAGCCTCTGTGGGGACAGCCTGCCATCAGGAAAGCCCTGCCCTGCCCTGTGCAGGGACACAATCTCTCCACCGCCCGAGCGTTGGGCTCCTCCATTCGAGGTGGAGGGTGGGGACTCAGGGACACCTGGACAGTGTCTGCAGGCCACGTAGGCGCTCGGCAATGCTCGTTAGTTGAACAAACACCAGAGACGGAGTGTTGGGATGCTCCCGCTATCTCCCCCATCAGAAAGCACTGCCCACTGTAGAGATGGGCAAGGTGGGGCTCAGGGTGCGGCAGAGGCAGGACTGCCAGGGCCAGGGTCCCCAGCCCAGGGGCACTGAGCAGTGCCAAACCCAAATGCTACCCGCCCGGTGCTACGCTAAGCACCCCACACTAACTACCTCACTTAACCCTCACAGCAGCTGTGAGAGGTGGGAGCCGTGAGGGTCCTCACTTTGGAGGGGATGAAACCCAAGCACAGAGAGGTTAAGTGATTGTCTGAGGACACACAGTCAGGAAGAGGAGGGGCTGAAACTTCCACCCAGGCCAGGCTGGCTCCAGAACGTGTCATAACCACTGCCCTCAGGCAGCTAGCAGCACGGCGGCCTTGGAAAGCCTGTGCCCCTACCCCCAAGCCCTCCCTCCCCCAGCCGGCCTAGGTGCTGCCACGGTCCCGGTGAGGTTTCCGGCAGGCAGGCGAGGTGGGACGCACCGGGTTTGGCCATCAGCCGGCGCAACTCGCCCTCGAGGTCCTGCTGCTGCTCCTCCAGGCGCTGGTCCTTGGACCTGCCAAGCAGACATGGGTCTGGGGCTGGCCTGACCTGCTGGCCTGATCCCCCCCACAGCCCGTGGCCCACACAGGGTGACGCGGCCTTCCAGGAGGGCTGCAGGTGGCGCACAGTGGCTGGGCCCTCACTTGTACATCAGCTCTGACTCCAGCCTCAGCAGCAGCTGCTTCTCGTGAATGAGCTGGAACCAGTCCACCATGAGGCCATCCTCCGAGGCATCTGCAGAGAGGAGTGGGCTGGGTGTGAGACAGCCAGCCCCGGCGCGGGGCATAGACTGGGGAGCAATGCCCACAAGGGTGTCAGGCCTGGGTCAAAGGTGTTCCCAGGGTCATGCTGGCCGATGGCCGGCAAGGCATTCAGGAGGGAGCTGGGTGGCTGGCACCCGCGGGAATGTGGGTTGGTCGGGGTCAGTGCTCACCTCCCTCGGCCGCGCGCAGCCGCTTCTCCAGCTCAATGCCCCTGAGTTCCAGGGCGTCCAGCTGCTGCTCAATTTTCTGCACCTGCCTCTGGATCTCCTCTTGGGGCACATAGTCAGGGTGCAGCTGGGGGACAGCAGGGTGGTGAGGGGTCACCAGGGCTGAGTTCCTGCCCACCACCTACCCCCACCTACTTACCCTGACAGGGGACGTCACTGTCTCACTGGGCTGAGCAGGGACACTGGCTGGGCCCAGGGGCCTCTCTGGAAAAGGGATAGAATGAGTCCCCTGGGTCTGACCCCAGGGCAGCTTGGCCTGCCCCAGCCCCTGCCTCCCCAGTGTCCCCTGTGCCAACACCTGGCCATCCTGCCTAGCCCCACAGGCACTGGGCAGCCCCAACCATTGCCCAAAGGATGAGAGCTTGTACAGACCCAGGTCCCATCCCCACCCTGCTCCCTGCTCCGCTCCAGGTCAGCAGGACCAGACACACCCCTGCAGCACCCTAGGACACCCTAGTCCCTTAAGCTGCCAGGAGTAAATGCCCCATCATCATATATCTGTGACAAGGTGCTAGGAAGCAGATGGGGTCTCTGTCCATTCCTCCCGCCCCTTTCATAAGGCAGGGCCTGGGTCCTCCAAGCTGTCCATCTATTTGTTGAGCTCCTATACATCCTGCAAAGCCCAGCAGGCATTTCCTCCTTAGAGGAAGCCTCCCTTCTTCTACGCCCAGACAGAAACAGTATCTCTGGGCCTGACCTGGTTTGCCCTGAGGATGGGACTTTTTCTCCTCCTTGCAGCTCCGGGCCCAGCCTTCTGTGCCCGACAGCTCAGGCCCAAGCCAGTCAGCAGACACATCGAGGTCGGCAGGGACAGCCAGTTTCCTGCGGTTGGATGGGGAGGGGGCTGCCCACAGGTGGGGACAGAGCCATGCATCAGGCCCAGAGCCCAGGGTCTGTCCCAGCATGGCTGTCAGCCGCTGGGTGGCCATCACTCCACCATGGGCACCCCCACCGGTGCAGGGTCAGCTCTCACGAGCCCTGTGTCCACCCACGCTTTTCACTTCCACCAGGGAGGGCAGAGTCCTGACCCTGGCTGGCAGGGGGGAACTGGCCCAGGGGGTTGGCAACCACCCAAGATCACACAGGAAGTATATGGGGTCAGATGTGGGCCCTGGAGTGACTGCTATGCTGGGGACAGACACACATGGATGCACACAAGCCCACCTGCCCAGGACCACCAGCTCTTTGGCAGAGCAGGGCCGCTGTCCATCCCCCAAACACCCTGGGAGAGTGGCATCACAGACCCCTGCCCCCGGAAGCGGGGACCAGTGGGTCCTGACAGCCCCGAGTTCCCATCCAGCATTACCTGAGAGGTTGGGCCTGGGGCCGGCTGAGCCCTCTGCCCTGTCAGAACGCACAGGGGTCAAGGTGATGCGGACACCCTCCTTGGGCCTGCCTGACATTTTCCTGGAGACATCCCCTACTCTGGGTTCTGCCGGGACCCGCAGCTCCTTCGGTTGTGGAGCCCTGGACAGAAGGAGTGAGGTCAGCCCCTTCACCTGCCAGCCACAGGCCTGGGACCACCTCAAGGGACTCCCAGGACCGCGTGCAGACAAGTCTGAGGGTGGCATGGCCTGAAGACACAGCATGACTGGGCTGTTTCTAAGCAATCGCCCAGCTCCAGGTAGGAATGTGCACCTGTGTAGACGGCCCCGGAGCACACAGGTGTGCTGACATCCATGCTTATGGCATGCGTGTGAGCACATGCTCAGGTGCTCGCAGGTGGCCCACCCGGGGGCAGACAGCCAGCCGGACCAAGCCCCAGGCGTGCATGTGCACATGTGCTGCTGTGCCCGGCATGGATATGCAGCCCTGCTGTGGCCACATCCGCCAGCTGATGTCCCGCTATCAAGCGTTTGCAAGCATTTATTAAGCACCTATTGGGTGGCAGCCCTGGGCATGAACTCCTGTAATCCCAGACTCTTGGGCACAGGTGTGGGAGCCCCCATCTCTCAGCCACCCCTTACCTCTCAGCAGGGCTTTTCTTATCCACAGGCTTTAGGCGGGCCCTCCATCCTGCTGGCCCGTCCTCCTGGCCTTCCTGGGCACTGGCAGTTGTGCCTGAGTGGGGGGCAAGGAGACAACATAAGGAGGGTCTCCCTGCCACCCTCTCACTCTCAGAATCACCCACAGCCAGCCCGGCACATAGAGGCACCAGGCTGGGAGTCAGGAGATGGGGCTTCCAGCTTGGCTGCCTGTCCAGTGCGTCCCTGGGGGGACCTCTTCCTCTCTGGACCTAAATTTCCCCTTCTGCCAAATGGGCGAGGTACGCCTGCACGAGACATACACCTGAGCGTGGCTGCCCATCTGCAGGCTTTCTTGGCTCAGACCAGAGTAGCTTTAATGAGGGTGAGTCAAAGGGAAAGATCCAGAAAAACGCCTTGTGCAGCACGTTCTCTGAGCCCGGCTTGATAACGTCATGGGCACCTCTAAGAATCACCCCAGGAGCCTGGAAGAAAGCCAATTCCATGGTTCTGCAGAAAAGCCTAAGGCCATGAAATAGGCTCGTGTGGTCCAGGAGCTCCCAGGAGACTCTGGGTCCAGAGGCCGTCAGAGCCCTGAGCACGGGAAGTGGGCACTGTTGGGCAGGGCGTGCAGAGAAGGCAGTGGCAGTACAGTGCAGTGTCATTGAACAAGCCCCAAGTGCAAAACTCCTGGGGGAGTGGGAGACCTGCAGACCCAGACAAAGCCTGCAACCACGAGCCCCCGGCACCACCAGCCAGGAACATGGCTGAGAACGGAGCTAGGCATTGGCACAGAGAGGGGAGGACTGGGCGTGCAGGCAGGTGAACAGTGACTGTCAAACTGTAAGCCTCAGGACACCTGCCACACAGGGGAGGACAAAAGGACCCAGGGATGAGACAATCAGGTGTCCCAGAGAATGACAGATACAGTGTGCGGGTGGAGGAGCTGGAGTGAAACAGCAAAGTGCTGCTGAGCCCACACCCAGGGGATCGGCAGGCACAACACAGGGAGAA